AAAACAAAGAAAATATACAGAAATACATACAAAGAAAACTCTTTTGAGCTAAGGAATTAATTTGAATATACATATATCAGTCTAATTAAAATTGCTATTACTTAGAATTATTAAACTTATCCGTTTTCATCATCGGTTATCATTTCGCATTTTAAGTTGTTGAAAGTATACACGGTCATATACGGTTTATACAATACCAATTTACGTACTTAATAATTCTTTTTTCTTTTAGATTTTCCAAAACCATAATAGCGCATCTTGTTGTGATGTTATTTATCTAGACTATTTCACCATCCATCAAGAGAACACCAAAAATAGTAAAGATTCTTTGTACACCATTACCCTAAAATCTCGACTTCATATTTTATCAGTCGAATTGGCTCACATTTAATCCTAATGATAGAAAAATAAGTGTTTAAAAGACTTTGAAAGTGAACCTAGAAACAACAGGTAATCTTTCCCAGACTTAGCCTTTCGACGATTTTAAACTTTACAAATAAAACATTTGCATGAAACACTTGTTCATTAGTGTAATTGTTATACTAAAATTCGTGGAATGTGCTTACACTACAGAATCACACGCAGTAGCTTGATTTGTGTCGTTACTTTCACTTCTTTACTCCATCGGGGATGTAGCTCAGTGGTAGAGCGTTCGCTTTGCATGTGAAAGGCCCCGGGTTCGATCCCCGGCATCTCCATTTTTGTTAAATTGTAAGCATTATTTGATATAATCCTTTTTTGATGTATTATGTTTCGTATAAAAAATATAACTTAGCTCAATGTTCTGTGTTTCAGGGAGGGCCCCATTACAATCTGATTGTCTACGATATTACCATAACCACTTTAAAATAAAATAAATAAAAATTAATTTTGCGTTTGATATTATAATATTTGATGATGTTAAGTCTAATTCCAACTCGTAACTCATAAAGAGTTGCGACATAAAAATAAAGGTGGTGGGATATAAAGCGCAATGGTTCATAAAACTCAAAAACAAACGTAATCCGACAAACAAACGGCAAACAGTAAAACGAATGTCAAACTCATCTGAAGTTCATTTACAAGTATCGACGGCTTCAGTTAATAGGACACAGGGTATTAGCTATAAAAACTTTTTTACGATACGCGAGGGATGCTAGTGTTGTGACATAGGTATCGATGAATAAAATAACTCAAATAATCGATTATTTCTATCAGTACATTCAGTGAAAGTTAAACCTCTATTCTAGAAAATGAAGGGTGTCATGAAAAATCCTTTTTTCTACTTTTATCAAAGTGTAATTGTGTCAGACTGAACATAAGCAGAATATAATCTAAGTAGGTAGATTCATTAACATCAAAGCTAATTTATGCAGTTTAAAAATATTAATTGCTGACTATCAACGGGACGTGGGTTCCGTCCCCATATGTTAAATTGATTAGAATTTATATTTTTTCAAACATGAACTTCGTCTATAAATTTAAGTAGTAGTAGAATTCCAGGCCAAAATATAGGTGACAAAAAAAACCGTTATATATAGGTGGGTCCTTTTACCTTCTATCAAGAGTACGCACGCTCGCTGTCCTTATATCGTAAAACGAAAGTCATTAATTTATACAGGATAAAAATATATACTACTTTGTTAGGGACATCTCTAAAATTCGCCGCTATAATTCTTAGCCACACCTCATTTGCATTTCTTTATTGGTTCGCGGGGAAATTGAGAAAAATTCGGGCACTCACTTTTAATTACGAATGTTGGCTACATTTAAATAATTACGTTGTGGAGATCTAATTTAGTTGTTTTCTGATGGTCAGTTAAAAAAAAGTAATTACAATTCATTAGATCATTTCCATCATTTTCATTGCTCGAAGATTTATATTTCACCTTTAGTAAACTTCAACATATTTTAAACGATTTAAATAAAACACTATTAACAGTTGCAGCACCCTGAATGTAGGCTGTGTTTAAAATATATTGTAAATAAATTGACTAATATATTTTGTGTTTTAAACCGTCAAAAGTCTGTTTCTTAAATATGCGGAAACTACAGACAATACTTAAACAACATATTTATATATGACATTAAACTTTTATTCAAAATTGCTTCATCTTCTGTCATTTGAATAATCGATACTTCTATTATTAGTAAATCTCGTAGGTAATAACAAAATTATTCAAGTTTGAAATATAAGGGAATATATTATTTTGGTTTTATAGCTGGCATATGGCTTTTAATATAAAAGATTCAGCATAATGTTCGGTTAGAAGGACGGCGCTGTTCCAACGATGTATAGCAGCAAGTCGCTGATGTATCGCGTAATCTGCCGATTGCTGCGGAATTGCCCATAAACTAACAATTTCTAGGTGCAATTTCACATCTAATTCAGGTACTCGGATAGGAAATATTACCCAGGAATAGCTGATAATAATATGTAATTAGGGTATGACTTTTTAAGATTAGATTTTCATGTTTTATTTTCTGCACTTGTATTACAAAAGATGTGTGTTTATTAAGTTTATGTTTTTAAATTAATTAACTATTTTATAGTTGTTTATGCATAAATCTAAAGTAGCGCTTGTAGGTAACCGAGAAAATCTTTGTTACTATTTAAAGGACAACATTATTTGTTTACACGAATGATATCATAATACAAATGCGTAAAAAATATAATTATCAAATATTAATCAATCTAGTAATTACCACATCTTGGATTTTCTTTCTCTATCGGAGCAGTCTTACAAAATATATTATTTAAATATAGTGGATTCTAAAAAGGCTTGGAGATGCCGGGGATCGAACCCGGGGCCTTTCACATGCAAAGCGAACGCTCTACCACTGAGCTACATCCCCGATGCAAGCAAATTTGTAATGAACAGTCAATAGTAGTATTGAAAGTAAAACAAAATGGCTGACGTCTAGTTACGAAATATTGTAGTAATGACCTACGCTATGAAAGCATAAACACTAATCAATAAGGCTAATAATTACCACATTAATAATGCGTACTACATTTGCATTTTTTGTTGTATAGGTAAGATTAATAAGATTCCAATAAAATAAATTCGCAAATCTTACCTAATGGAAATCCCAGAACTATTGCATTTTTCAAACAGTCCACTTTATGGCCGCTCGATTGAATTTTCACACTTGATTTGGAAAAAGAATCCTTCCGGTTTCGGAATTCGGAGCGAACCTGTCAAATAATGGCGGGAAAACAGAACGGTGTTGTCGGCCTCAGTGAAGGGTCGCCATGTGTCAAACGGGAAATAGTTATTTATGGGCGCCATTCACAAATTGCATTCATGGCCGAATTGATATATTGGAATGTTTTATATGTAAATGTGATCTAGGATGAATGTCCTGCCCCAGAAACGAATAACATGATTTAGATTCGGCTTAGCTTTTGCTTTAGCACATCGACAATAAATTTAATATTTCTGTCAGTAAAACAAACTTTTGACAGTAGAACAAAGTAACTATCATAAAGAATACTATATTTTACATTAATTAATGAGTTTCTTTTTTTTCAAGTGCCTGGATAATATATAATGTACTTAATAAATATGTGCTAGATAACACCGCCCGTTGCTCAACTTTTTTATATTTTCCTTGTGTATACGTTAGAAGTGGTAAAGTAAAAAATTAATACAACGAACTGTCGACAAGTTTGGCAGACAAAAAACCGATGGCCATTCAGTCTCTACGCTAGGGTCCTTCAAACAAGTGATCGTATCGTATAATCGAGATTAACAATCAAATATTTTACTTGATCGCTTTTTTAATAGAAAGAAAACGAAAAATTACTTTCATTAATCACTACCATGAGCCATATAATACTACCCCACCAAAATACTCTACACAACAACATCAATAAAAACTAAAATCCACATAAGGCTAGTAAGGCAGCGTTGTTTGTATTTATTTTAATTAATTTTCTATGACGATATTCGTCCAATAGTGAAATATCTTATCATTTCAAATAATGAGATATTAAATAACCTTGATTTAACATTTACGATTTGTTTGGCATTTGCGTTGGTAGACGCCATGAAAAAACGAAAACAACAGGCGTACTTGACAAGATTATAATAAATCGGTGGACGAAATAGATTCCCAACTTATAAACAATGGGTAACATAGAGCGGTCACGTTTATTCTATAAATCACATGAATCCAGTAAATCATAGCAGTTAAGCGCCAGTTGAGTCAGGGAGGTCGACGGTTGCTGTACACGATTGTACAAATGTTTTGGATAAATACGTAAATAAATAAATTTAGAGTACAAATTATGGATGTCGCCGCCGGAGGACCCAAAAAAAACCAAAATTAATTCAAAGTAATTTAATTAAAATAAAACTTATGTAATTACAATTTAAATTTACTACTAAAGAAACTAGTCTAGTTCCTATCGATGCTAGATATGGAATGACCGAGACACAGTAATAATGTTTAAAAGAAGTAATTGTGAAATGTGGAAGATTCCCATTAAAACGCAGTGTCGGATGGCGCCGGCCTCCTTTGAGTTCGTCGCTACCTCTTTCCGTCAACGTTGCATTCTTGCCTCGTGTGAACGATGTTGCAATAGTACACGGGGCAGCTGCTTACTTGCGATTTGCTAAGGGTGCGTCCATATAACACCTCCCCCCTGAGAACAGCAACTATTTCTGCATTTTGAGATGGTGAAATATTGCTGTCTTCTGCGAACCAGGATTTTCAGGCTTCGCGTAGATGTCATCTCGAGTAGGGGTGTTCTTTACCTTCGGCTGGCGTTGTAGTAACCCAAAGTGTCTTAGTATCAGGACACCTGAGACTACAAGTACACTTATTAGTATGATAGTGTACAGTGGTATAGTTGTATGATAAAGATAGTTCGCTGGTACTTGTTCAATTTGTAGAGTTGGTTGCGTCACTAGGTGATGCTGGGCTTCATGTAATCTTGTCAAGTCAATTGATTTGAGATAAACGTGGGATGAAGAGTTGGCGTGAGCTTCCTTATCGTATGGTAGTTTCATTATCTACAAAGGGCGTCCTTCAATTTGATCATTAGTATTAGTGATAGTGAATTCTGAGGTGAACAGGAAACAGTTGACAGGCACTGTGATTAAGTAGGTGCCACTAAGGATGGTGTAGTCATCTCGTGCGCATCGCAGATGAATCTTCGTAGCATTTGGGAAGGATATGATATAGTGCTTCTCGTCAAGTTCTTCCAAGGAGATTCTTGAGAGTGTTATCGTAGTCATCTGGCAGGTCTTGTCCAAGGCTTGGTTAATGATGAGCTCTTGAGTGCAGTCTGGCTGCTGTCGTATCTGGTGGTCCATCTTCTCACCGCAGAGGTACCAGTGATTGTACTTCGGGCATTCTGCCTCCATGTACACGTAACCTTTCCTGTTTGTTGCTATTAGAGGATAAGGAGGGATGAGGGCCTGCTGGTATTTATTAGGAGCAATGGACAATCTATACAAGTCATAACTATCTTTAATAAAAAGAGGTAATTTAAATATAACTACTATTCTGGTACCTGAGAAATAATAACCAGGTTTTATTAGCTCATAATATTCCCTTAGTTCTAACTCTAACACATGTTCCTTACCGTATATTGATATTAACCTATTAATCATTTTACCTAAAACTTTAATACTAATCATTGAGTGGTGCGCGCTTGACGCACGGATAAAAGCTAAACTATTTTCTATTCTAATAAGTTCACTGATAACGTCATCTATGTTCTCTGTAATAATAGCTAAATGTTGCGCAAATTTCATGTATTTAATAAGACTTGAGTCTCTATATGCATCTGAATCTAAAATAATCTTTAAAGTTTCATTAATTTTTATTTGATTTTCAACAAGTTTAGACATGATATCAGAATGCTGGGCCATCCACTCGTTATTTAAAGTAATGTGGGAATTAAACTGATTGATAATTTTATTATCATTATCCTGTAAAATTTTAATAGCCTTATCGTACCTTATTGCATCAGAGTGATCTAAATTACCAGTGATAGTTTTAATTACGGAACCCAAGCCATCAATAAGACCTCTTTTAACTCTAGTAGATTCTAACGATTCTAAGTGGCTAAGAACATTTAATAGTTTAGAGGATAAGTATTCTATTTGTAGTTCATATAACATGAAAGTATCATTTTTCAATTGGAGTTTAAAATCTGCTAATTGGACTTGTAATAATTCTATTTTATCGCTAATATCTTGGAGTTGTATATATTGTAAGAAAGTATGAAAATGGGAAATAAGCCTCGTTTCTCCGAGTCTAAATGGGAGTAATCCAGGACCATCATCAAGGCTCTCAAGTGTTATCTCTTGATTGCGTTCCTGAGCCGTTATCAAACGAGCAGTCAGGACCAGTAGCACCCTGCAACAATTGGGCACTTTTAGGGACTCGTTTTAACCTACTTTTAGCTACGGGACCGCGCTTTCTAGAGATATATATGTGTATAGGTAAGTCCGCAAGAACAGTATCCTGACTATATCGTGGGGCTAGCTTTTGACGACTTGCTAAAGGGTTGTTAACGAACACGCGTTGTTGGGGTTGGTACTCGATTTCCGGTTCGCGGGTTTTATTTAGGTTTTCTATAATGTGAGTACGAGTACTCAGCGATGACTCATTTATTGCGTCATAGACAAGTTTCATATTGTCACGATGGGTTTGCATGTACTGCTGCATTAAGTGCTTAGATATATCTATATCGAGAGGATCTCGCGGGTCAAAGTGGCCAGTTATAATATCAAAAGGTCGGCACTTAGTGAATGAATGAATAGAACTATTGTATGCTAAAATACCGTACGGGATAAGGTTAATTACGTCCTGATTTTTATGACTAAGTTTTAAAATACGAAGGTGCTCAAGCAAAGTAGAGTGAAATCTTTCTACTATACCGTTATCGTTAGGACTATGCGGCAAAGTTCTATGATGATTAATTTTGTGTAAGGCAACAAATTCACTAAATAACTGATTGGTAAATTCTGTACCGTTATCAGAAACAATAGTTAATGGGAGACCATGGTGAGTGCAGAATTTAAGTAAAGCTTGTAACGTGCTAATAGCAGTACCGTCGCGAATATGATATGCCTGCGCGTATTTGGAGAATACGTCTACTATGGTCAAATATTTTTCATTTTGAATGGATAATAGATCGATATGGACTATTTCGAAGGGTTTTGTTGCCGGGGGAACTATATTAAACTGTTGCTTAATAGGATTACGGTCATATTTCGCTTGACCACAAATAGTGCAACTATTAATAAATTTAGTTATATCGTCCTTCATCTTTGGCCAATAGTAACGACGGGATAAAGCTAGATGCCACTCGTTTATTCCGCGGTGGTTAGTTTTACCATCGTGGTAATGTTTGAGTATCTCTTGCTGTCTTAAGTACTCTTTAACGTTCTCTACTTCGTATTTGCACAGCACTAAATTCATTGCGGAACTTTTGAATTTATCTTGAATGATCGGTATAATGTCATAAAAAGCTAAGGGAGGATTTATAAGCAACGCGGTTTTTACCTTAGGATTAACAAATTCTTTAATTATATCTACTACGTCTGATTCTAAATTAGAGCTAGAAACTTGTACTGATGTTCTAGTATGCGTATCAAACGGTTTCGAACCCGTTGGCCGTTTTTTAATATCACCTACTACTCTAATGCATAACTGCCTATGATATTTGTTTAGAGGTTCCGCAACGATTGGAATCTCTAAAATTGGGTTCTCTAAACTAGTGTGAGCGGATGCTGTAGACGAATTATCAACTGATGGTGGGCGTTCTGAAGCATTAGCAACTACTGAACTGATCTCCTCGTTATGGATCTCAATGCGGGACAGAGCGTCGGCATTGCAATTACTTGTGCCTTTTTTATAAATAACTGTAAAATCATATTCTGAAAGTTTGAGCCTCCAACGAGTTAGGCGGGAGTTGGGCTCTTTTAAATTCATAATCCACTGGAGTGGTTTATGATCGGTTACAATTTTGAATTTTCTTCCGAATAAATAAGGCCTAAAATATTTAGTTGCCCATACAATAGCGAGGAGCTCTTTCTCGATAGTGCTATAATTTATTTCGCTCTCATTTAAAGTTCTAGACGCGAAACAAACTGGTTTATCTATACCAATTGTGCCCTGAGATAGTACGGCACCAATAGCTACGTTAGACGCGTCAGTTGTGAGAACAAAATCCTTAGAAAAATCGGGATATTGGAGAATCGGATCATTAGTTAATAGTAATTTGCACTTCTCAAAGCAATTTATGTACTCTGTGTCTGCGACAATTTTCCTACCTTTTTTAAGACACTGAGTAAGGGGTTTAGTGACTCGCGTAAAATCGGGTATAAATTTTCGGTAGTAACCGACTAAACCAAGGAACTGTTTGATTTCCTTTGGTGTTTTTGGAAGTGGATATTTCTGAATTGCGGAAATTTTATCAGGGTTTGGTTTAATACCATCCTTACTTATTACGTGACCTAAATATGCTGTCTCTAATTTAAGAAATTCAGATTTATCCATCTGGATTTTAAAATTGGAATCGCGAAGTTTTTGAAAAACCTTTTCTAAATTGGTCATGTGCTCTTGGAGACTGGTACTAAAAACGATTATGTCATCCAAATAGACCAGGCAGACGGTGTTCTGAAGGTCTTTTAGCACATTGTCCATTACGCGCTGGAAAGTGGACGGAGAGTTCTTTAGTCCCATTGGCATGCGAAGAAATTCATAATGTCCGTTTTCGACATTAAACGCGGTCTTCGGAATGTCGTCAGGGTCCATTTCTACTTGGTAAAATCCGCTAGCTAAGTCTAAAGTGGTAAAATACTGACAGTTACCAAGTTTATCTAACACGTCACTGATGTTGGGGATCGGATATTTGTCATCGTGCGTCTTTTCGTTTAACTTACGAAAATCTATCACGAGACGCCATTTAGTTTTACCGGACGCGTCAGCCTTCTTCGGAACTACCCAAATAGGCGAGCTCCAAGCGGATTCTGAGGGACGGATTATACCCTGATCTAGCATTTTGCCTATCTGGTCCCTAACTTCATCTCTATGTACATACGGATATCGATAACTTTTCGTATATACGGGAATTTCGTCTTGGGTTCGAATACGATGTTTAATTTTATTCGTGAATGTTAATTTTTCTCCATCTATGTAGAATACGTCCGCATATTTACTACATAACAATTCTAGATTCGCGCGTTCTTCGGCGTTTAAATGATCGGTTCGAAGTCGTGATAGAACTTCGGTCGCTCGCGGAGTATGCTGGACAGAACGTGAACACTCTACGTTATAAGATTCTGCTTGAACGGGTCGATCTAACGAAAATATTAAATCATGCTGTGATGGATTAAAAACTTCTAAAAATCCGCGGTTATTACAAACAGTAGTTAAGCATTGATTAATGACACAATTAGAAATACTTTGCTCATTTATAAAAGCATCACCGTCCTGCAAATTAATAGGAATTTTAATAATTTTTGAAGAATTAGCCGGTATTATATCTTCGTACCAATTAACGTTTCGCGAGTTATACATGTTAATAGGGTTATTTGAATTACGTGTTATAAGTACTTTATTTTTTAAATCTATTTTTGCCTCCCAATTTTCTAATAAGTCAAGTCCAATAAGCCCATCGAAATATTCATGAAATTTATAGATGTACAATTTAATATTTTCAGGTTCATTAAATTCTGAAAAGCAAGGAATATTAATAGAATAATTATTTCTGGATGTAGCGTGCACATTGGTAACTTCAAATGGATCAAAATTTAATGGAAAATTAGAATAAAAATGTTCAATAGCGTCTGGACAAATAAAAGATTGATTAGCGCCTGTGTCAATTAATAATTTCAAAGGCGGATCCAAAATTTGAATATATGGGAGTTGCCTTTGTGACTGTAAATTTAATTCTATTTTGACTTGTCTGATTTCATGCGCTTCTGAAAATCCTGCTCTTCTACGGAACTAGTAGATGGCTGAGGTTCATCAGAGTAGCCTGAAGGGCACTCATTTAATGGTTCGCAACTCTGTTCTACACAATAAGATTCCGGATAGTAAAAATCATTTCCTGCGTAATAGTAATCATATGCATCACAATTATAATATTCAGGATAATAATAATTTTCATAACTATCACACTCATTCATATTCATTTCTTTAGTTTTAAAATAATTTGAGGCTGGAATATTTCCATGCTTACGCCAATCATGACCCGTCAACTGCGTGGTCAGAGGCCTCTCTCTAGTGACGTAGTGACTAACGCCACTCATAGGCTTAGGGCCTTGATTTTGAGGAACATTTCTAGGCACACTAAAGAAATTATTTTGATGAGGGTTATAGTTAGGTGGTGGGGCACGGAACATTTGCTGCGTGCGTGATGGCATGTTCATCGATCTAAATGGGGCTGGCTGCTGGAAATTCGGCTTCCACTGCTGTTGGGGCGGCTGCCATATTGGCATTGAAGGGGGTCGTGCAACAGGATTGAATGGTTTGAACGCGGGGAAATTATTAGGAGCCAATTGAATTGGCTTTGGCAATTGAACACTTTGAATTTTCTTTTCTGATACTGAATCGTTACGATTTTGAAGGTACATTACGTTCAATTCCTCTTGCACAAACTCCAAAGCTTTTTCAGCACTATCAGGACGCATGCATCTAATGCGAGAGCCTAGAGGCTCTTTCAAACCGCGCACAAATGCCTGCATCGTTAATTTTTTATATAAAACACGTTTAGCTTCTACAGTCGTATCGACTGACTCGTGTAAGGTGACATAAGTCATGATGGTGCTGAATAAGTTAACACATTTATCATAGAACTCCTGAGGCGAACTATTCCCTTGCGTGGCTAACATAA